TCTCAATTTTATCCCACAACTTAGACATTCACATTACTCACACTCTCATAACACATACATATAGGATCTTGGGGGTGGGCACGCTACATGGCATCCAGAAGACCATCAGGGTGTACACCTCACCTCTTGCCCACCTGTCAACTTTAAATACACGTAGACATTGATGGCTATCAGGAGGGGCTATGCACTTACCTGCTGCTCTCTGGCAGGTAGCTCAATGCCCTCCTGGGTTTAAATGCACCTTAGAACGCACATGCATCAACACTACGTATGAGTGGGCAGAGAGAGATTTGGAGTCTTCTCACACCCCCGTTCTCTGCAACCTGCTGGAGCGGGGGGGCTAGGAGGATGAGTTGGCCGTCCGATTGGGGTCTGGAGTGTGGGGCCTCCCTGCAGCTGCGGAGTCGGGGCGGTCTGCTTCTCTGCTTAAACCCCAGGGAAGAGGGTGTCACCACCTGTGCCTGAGTGCAGTTTCCACCTCCAAGGCAAGAGTACCTAGACCTGGGGTATAGAGTACGCTTGGGGAGTGTGATTGTGTGTAATGTGTCTATTTATGTCTGTCTCCACGTTGGGTGAGTGTTGAGTAATCGCGTATGAGAGCATGAGGGTGGGAATGGATGTTTGTATCTGTGTGTGCCTGTATGTCTGTGTCGATATGTCAGGTCGGATATCAGATGCCACCTGTCTAGGAACATCTCAGGCCCTCCAAGGTTTGGAGGCCTATCTCCCCCCACCACTTCTCCTGCCAGTGGAAGATCCCCTCAGACATCAGTGCATTGGTGGTTCTTTGTGTCCGGGTATGGGCGTCCAGGTACACACTGGCTCACTCCTGGTGGCTGCTCGTCGGGTCCTGGAGCCTGGGGCTTTTCTTTCACCCAATCATGTCTGTCCCGTGTGTAGCAAGTGAAAATAAAATAAAATAAATAATAAAAGCAAAGGTGAATCAAATACACCAATACGGCAAGGTGGGATGGTCCATTTGGTAAAGTAAATCTGTTGGGCATCTTCCTTTGCCTTTAGACAATAATTCTGATGGCAAAAGAACCAAACAGGACAGGCAGGGGAAAAAAGCAAAATATATGGGCCCCTAGCTCTAAAATAGCACCTCTTAAATATTTTGTACCTCCAGGCTCTTTTTTGGGTCCTGCCCTGTTTGCACTGTATTTGTTGTCATTGGGTTCCAACTTTTCACGTTACAACATTTTATTCCACTGCTTTGCTGATGATTTCTAGATTTATCTGCCTTTAAAAGCAGGGTCAGACCGTCCACACCTTTTATTACACTGCCTTGATGACATCAAACAGTCGCAGCAGATGGCCGCCCCTCCCTGAGCCTGGTTCTGCCGGAGGTTTCTTCCTGTTAAAAGGGAGTTTTTCCTTCCCACTGTTGCCAAAGT